TGTGGTCATACATCAAAGGATACTGCCTGTTGATCGCTACGTTTGTCAGATCAATTTCTGGCGATACCTGTGCCGTACAAAAATCAATAGGCAAGTTTTTTTAACAGAATAACACAATGTCCAGATTCCCAACAACGACCCTTATGTGATATAGCCTTCAGTATTGCCAGGAAAGGCTTTTGTATCTGGCGGTCATTATTAAAGAAAAGAAAAGAAAAACAAAACAAAAAACAAAAGGACGCTTTTATTCTCAAGTTATGAAAGCTTTCTTTTCAAATAAATGTGAAAGGCAATACAAATTCAGTCGAACTTCTATTAATCGAACTTCGATGATTCGAATTTCTCAATGTATAGAATTTTTTGTCTGGTCCCTTGGGTGGTTGGTTGATAGGTTTCCATTTCTGTGACTCCTCCCATGTGTGGGAATCGTCTCTCCGACGAACGTCAGTGTTCTGGCGAGGTTTGACTGGTCCCGCATTGTATCCTTATACATGTATATCGCTACTTACTTACCCCTGTATAAATTGCAGTTTTATAAATCGAACTTTTCGATGCATGAAAGTGTTTTTCACTGGCCGTTAGCTAAGGTAAGTCACTGACACCTATTGATTCCAACAAAACATTTCCCCGTCACTGTACCGGTATTTCTGCTCCGCAGTAGAATTTCATGTAAAATGTATCAACAAAAACTGGAAGTTTAATTACTTGCTTACAAGCCATGATATTTAATAAGAAATAATCAGACGGCATGTGATGCTCACCACTGCCATTCCGGTAATTGCATATAGCTAGGTCTAATTTGCGGAATTGAGAAAACAACCGAAGGATATCCTACGCACATATATGATGATTTCACTCACTCCCAAAGCGATGCTTATATAAAATATGAAAAACAGTGATTAATCTGCCAGCCATGCGTTCTCCTATTGATTCATACTAGTCATGTCAGACTATCGGCCAACACTCTTGTAACTTTTTACGACCGAAGATGTGTAATGCTAGTGCTGTTGTTTTCTGGACAGAATACATTATGAGATTGCTTTCTTTTAAATTCATTAGTGCCTTTAACGTTTATGTATCAGTCTTAAAAAATTATTGTAACAAGTGAAGGCTACTTTAATGCTGTGATTCGTTTCATTTAAAATCGATCTGTAAAATACATATACTGTGTGACAGGAAGGCATGAATGAAAACGTGAGCGTGCATTGTCGATTTCTCGTTGAATCATATTTAAAGTTCCTTGAACTCTGAAACATCGAAGTTTGATTGTATATAAAAGTTCTTCAAACAGACTATTGGTGTAGGAACAAACAGAGCACTACACTTGAATGCCTGGTTTTGGTGGCACGTAAGGCTGAATTTATCCTTTTTAACACCTTCACTTTTAGACAAAGTTTTATGATGTCTTTTGTAATCAATATCAAGATATTTAAAGACCAATATCAATTTTAAAGCGAAGGTCTAAAAAGATATTCACCAAAATCAAAAACACAGACTCTTTTACATAAGACAGTTACCTCGACCTTTTCCTTACACGAAACAACTAGGGAAAACTTTTTACCAAGTTGTATGATACGCGCAGTAATCTCAATTTCCTTATTGTGAGGTTCTCATTTCTAGATTGCAATATCCCTGCTCCCCAACATATGGTGTCTTAATGTCGTATTGATTTGAAATTTAACAGATGAACAAACAACATATGCTTCCAAGAATTACAGATTGATTTGGAGTATGCACGTGAACTATGGGATGAGTGTTTAGAAATGAATTCTTTGAAATTGGAAAAAATCTCAATGCGAAGCACCGCGAATTATCAACGGTTAACCGTAATAAACTCAGAAACGGGCCTTGAGAGACTTTCAGAAAGGAGATAAAGGAGAAAATTGAGCCTTTTTAAAAAATGGATGATAAACGAACACCAGATTATTTCTATTGATTTCTACCTCCAATAGTCGGTGATACCAACACCTATTTTCTAAGAATTAAAAACAGTTATGTTACAGACTTTCTCTTACTGACTCGCCTTTTATACCTTACTCTCTTCAATTGTTGAATATTGTTGAATGACCTGGATTAACCAACTTCACCTTCCCTAGCAACTTTCAAGGGAAACTTGACACGCGAATCCCAGAAGAGGTACCCTGTATTTTATTTTTTTGTGATAGACTACATATTACACACTAAATTGAGACATCGATGTAGTTTTAAGTTGTGACTTGTTTCGAGTTCAGCTCACCAACAGTTATCATTGTTTTTTGTGGAAATCGTTGTAATATGCTTATCATTATTTCTCTGAACGTGAAAATCTATGTCAACTGTAACGTATCCATCAGTCACTTAAGTGTTGATGTTACTTTGTTGTATCATATTATGGTAATGACCTGTAATGCAATAATATCTATGTATTTTCAGATCCGTTTATCATTATATAAAGTCCAGGACTGTAGATATAAGACACATATAACTAATTGTTACTGTCTAGGTTTATTAAATGTTGTAATTAGAAGGCGAGTACATTTCTTAAAAGTATTAAGTTTTGCCAGATCACCTGTTCGTTATTTAGGCAATAAGATATTTTTTTCATGGTTTAACTAAAAGATAAACGTTTTATGGCCATCATGATGGTCTCATTGGGAATATGTTCTCCTTCCTTGTGCAAAAAGAAAGTTAGCCATGTTTGATGTTCCCTAGTGTACATGATGGTTCCATTGGTTACTTTTTTCTCATTTGTGAATGCATCATCATTTATTTGGATATACCAAACTTTGCATGGCGGATATCATTGATGTAGTAAGAGACACCAATTTCTTTCAGAGTTATCTGGCAGTATAGATCTTTCTTCTGTTTAATTTTTGCGATTGTTACAGCGAACCTAAGTTGGAATCAAGATTTTGGTGACAGGATTGTATTTTCTTTTCTGTTCTTGTTATTATTTACCTGTTATAACATGTCCCGTCCGAGCGTTATGCGTTATTGTGACTATAGCCTAATATACATACGGACATCTACATACATATACCTGAAAAGGAATGAACACAGATAGCCGTGAAAGAACACTTTTACTAATATAAGACCCGGGGACAAACGCCGTTAGTGAGATATAATCCGAGGGTGATCTGACGTTCTGACACACGGAGGATGTACATGTGTGACGGATAGTACATGTGTGAGTGTGGTATTGCTTACAGCTGCAGGTATGGAAGACGCAAATTCATTAAGGTTTGAAGAAAAACGATGATTTCGTGAAAAAATCGTGGCATTAATATTGTTCGGTCTGTTTAACTTCGCCCATTAATATAACTTTAACATCATTTAGCATCTTCTTGAGAGATTGTAAATGAACCTTCATGAACTGCCAAGTGAAAACTAATACCACAATGTACAAAAGAAAAAAATGTCACAGTGGAGAAGGACAACAGAGATACAAAATATTGGCCAAAAGGTGTTTTATTGTCATACAGTCGAATGACACTATGGCGAGATAACGGGTTGATATTTTTCTTTGGGATGAACTCGGATCCTGTTACTGCGTATATCCTATTTGTTTTCTTTGTTACGTAACGTGCATTGAATCGGAACAAATGAGATTATCGATGTGGTTTGTGTAAACGATAAGCAGCTGATACGGAACTCACATGTAAATTTACTAAGTATGTCACGCTCTATTAGCAAAGTATTTGTGCCACGGTTCAGTGTGTTCCTTTGTGAGAGGTTTCCTTGAAAAAAAGTTATTCCCAAATATATATATAATGTTTCCCCCTGAATAGGATTTTTTCCAATATCTTCACTGTTGATGATAAATTTTGAATTAGCAGTTCCTAGAGGTCTAGGTGGAATATTACATTGGATCGTAACATTTACACTCATTTTAATCTATAGCAAGGTAGATCATAACGCCCATGCAATTACGATTTCAATATGTATTAAATAACAAGGGAACAATTTGATGTTAACTGTTGATTTGGTATTCAAACATACCTGATATCGGTTCTCTCTTGGAATTCCTCACATTACAGGCATCACCCACTGTTTATGATTTGACGTTTAGGTTTTAGATATGGAGATTTAGCAAACCTGTTCTTCTGTTACAACACTATCAGTGATAGCTATGGGATCACAATGCGCTGACATGATTTCTCCTTCTAACAACCCCCTCACCATCTTTTGATATCTTATGAATGATGCTCATTTCTAAACCTTTTTTGCCATATAACATTGAAACTATTATGGTATGTTTCCCAAGAGAAATACGTCTCGGCTTCCGTTAAAATTATGTGATCAGTAGTTGGTATTCCTTCCATTTCTGTTTAGATGTACTCTGTTTCATTCCTCACTCCTTTTCCCTTTAGAATGGTAACTGCACCACTAATAGATATCTTAATGTATGCCTACTTATATCATGTAGACTTATATTTTGTTGTTTTATTCATCACTCCTACCCCAATGTGAGCTGGTGAAATGGACAAACCTAAGTATGGAGGGGTTATAATGTATCCTCGTGAACAGTCAAAATAAGATACCATGGAACCACATGATTGGGTAAATAGCTGTTTACTCCTCCTCGACTTGTCAGCAGAAGGGCCTTATCATTTAAACAATTGTGAAAACTGAGGATTAAAATCATCGGTAAAAGTTCCGGATGTGGCATGATAGAAAAATAAGCATCCTTCGTTATTCTGTGATAAAAACGAAGACAGTACTCTTTATTGTGACATACGAACACATAGAGGCAGGCTATTCTGCGGTTTGTGTCCTGATTTGATATTATTGTACTACCTAGCCTTTTACTGAACTAGGTCTCCATGTTATGCTGTGGTTAATGTACGTATCTTAACATCACTTCAGCAATATCATCAGTTACTCTCTTATCAGTAAGTAGTCTTGTGATAACCACATGTCCGAACTTGTGGTAGACTTGTGACTGATATAGGGTATCTCCTCTGATTACAGTATATAAGTATCTATGTACTAAATTCCCAGAGTTAGTACACCACTCAAGGATGGCAGAGTCATCAGGTGTACTGACGTTAGTCACCCTGCTCACAACCCTCGCCCTAGGGGCGGGGGCTGGGGTTAGGTGTAACCCCCCGTCTTCGTCCTCGGAGTCAATTTATGACTTCACGCTGCCCGACATCTTAGGACAGAAAAACATTAGCCTCGCGACCTACAAAGGTAAGGTTGTTCACATCATGAATGTGGCAACCTACTGAGGGTTAAACAGTGTCCATTACCATGGCGTGAATGCACTTCAAAGCCAGTATGGAGACATGGGCTTCCAGGCGCTGGGCTTCCCATGCGACCAGTTCCACAATGTACGTATGTATATATGGTCATCACAGTTATCGGCGACATTGGACTTGGAATGTGTAGAAAGATAGGAACATCATGTTATATAGGACTGAAGGACAGGGATTCTTCTGTGATAAAGGAGTGTAGGACAGGGACTATTGCGTTTGAGAAATTAAGACTGAGAGCATTGTTTTCTTCACATAATTTACATTCCCATCACACAACATTTTCTACCCTACACTTCCATATCACACAACATTCCCTTCCTTCTCCCCGTAATTCCTGTCCTTCACGCTGTCACAGAAATCCCTGAAGAACACTTCCACCACACCCTGTACTTGATTCCAGTCACACAATGCCTCTCCTACATTTGAGTCATACAGCTATCGCTGTCCTACCTGTACTCTCTCATAGCATAATACACATCAATTCCTGTACTCCATTTCAATCACATATCAATCTCTGTCCTACCTGTACTCTCCCATAGCACAAAACACACCAATTCCTGTCCTCCATTCCAAATATATAACAATGTCTGTCCTACCTGTACTCTACCATAGCACAATACACACCTATTCCTGTCCTCCATTTCAAACACATATCAATCTCTGTCCTACCTGCACTCTCCCATAGCACAATACAAATCAATTTCTATCCTCCATTTAAAACACATATCAATCTCTGTCCTACCTGTACTACAGTTTGCTTGAAAGTTGATATCTCTATATAAAGGTATAATGGTAGACTGTAAGTCCTTTGCGAGCTATATTTAGTTTGGGATAGTGGATAGTAGCTGGTGTCTTCGTATGTTTCTATCTATAGAAATTCTTTAGATATTTCTTGTCTTTACATTAAAATTCTTTAGATATTTCTTGTCATTAAGTTTCAATCGTTTTACATGTCTGTCACTTCCTTGGAATATTGAAGAAATCTCTTTGTCTCTACGATGGGATTGACCAGATATTTCTTGTCACTTCGTTGGAACGGTATAGATATTCCTTGTCACTTCGTTGGAACGGTATAGATATTCCTTGTCACTTCGTTGGAACGGTATAGATATTCCTTGTCACTTCGTTGGAACGGTATAGATATTCCTTGTCACTTCGTTTAAATAGTTTCGGGATATGTTTGCAGTTCGTATAAATCGTTTCTTCGAAATACGTTGTCACTTGGAATTTTGTTTGATATTAATTACTTGGAAGTTAATTGGAAATATGTTTAGAAATTTGTAAGTAATTCTTTATTTATTTTTTATATTTTATTATCATTCGTTGGCATTGTTTAGATACAAGTCATTAGTTCGTTGAAATAGGTGATAATTTGTCTTTGCTCGTTGGAATCTTTTGAATCTAGAGAAGTGATGGTTAATCTCTTTCAATTGTTTATGTTAAAATCAAACCCGAGTGTCAATATTAATTTGAATTTATTGAAATCATTAAAGAAATACAATTAGACTAGTGTCACACATAATGAGACTTGGTATGTAGAAATGTCGAATGAAGATGACCTTACTAGCGTCTGCTACGGGATATTTCCCTTCAGACACGATTTAGATTTAGATTAAGAGTGTCCGGTTAGAGACCGGAAGAGCGCCTGTTCGAGCCCTATGCGGGTATATTAGGTTTTTCTTTACCCCACCTATTACATATACACGAATGTAACTCATATTCCTAAGAAAAGTAGAATCATTGAAGGAATTTTCAGACAGTACATGCGATCATTTCACAAAGACTTTGTTAAGACAGATTGATAACGTATTTTCCCTAAATAAGAAATTAATTGACCATGTCCATCGTTTATACCGACGAAAATTGGAAAACGACAAACTAGTCCATATCAGTTGTTTACCTTAATCTCTTCCTACAACGAAAACAACAAGGAAATCTTTTCACTAAGCTGTATTATAAACGTGATGATTTCGGCTACCCTATTGTAAATTTTCCACTAAGCTGTATGATAAACGTGATGATTCCGGCTACCCTATTGTAAATTTTCCACTAAGCTCTATGATAAAAGTGATGATTCCGGCTACCCTATCGTAAATTTTCCACTAAGATATATGATAAAAGTGATGATTCCGGCTACCCTATCGTAAATTTTCCACTAAGCTGTATTATAAACGTGATGATTCCGGCTACCCTATCGTAAATTTTCCACTAAGCTGTATGATAAACGTGATGATTTCGTCTACCCTATTGTAAATTTTCCACTAAGCTGTATGATAAACGTGATGATTTCGGCTACCCTATTGTAAATTTTCCACTAAGCTGTATGATAAACGTGATGATTTCGGCTACCCTATTGTAAATTTTCCACTAAGCTGTATGATAAACGTGATGATTCCGGCTACCCTATTGTAAATTTTCCACTAAGCTGTATGATAAACGTGATGATTCCGGCTACCCTATTGTAAATTTTCCACTAAGCTGTATTATAAACGTGATGATTTCGGCTACCCTATTGTAAATTTTCCACTAAGATGTATAATAAACGTGATGATTCCGGCTACCCTATTGTAAATTTTCCACTAAGCTGTATGATAAACGTGATGATTTCGGCTACCCTATTGTAAATTTTCCACTAAGCTGTATGATAAACGTGATGATTTCGGCTTCCCTATTGTAAATTTTCCACTTAACTGTATGATAAACGTGATGATTTCGGCGACTATTGTAAATTTCAATATGGTGTTTACATCTGTGTCGCAATTAATTCGATAACCCAGGGCCTGTTCACAATATCATGATTTTCGTGTGCGAAATGTCGACAACGGGCAGACAAATTCACAACACCGAGTTTTGAGATATGCAGGTTGATAAAAAATAGCGGAATTTTTTTTTACGGTTTCCGTTATGATATCAATAACTAATATTCTACTGTGAGATATGAAGCTGGACACGTTTGATGTCGTTATTGTGCCTGGTGGTTCCGTTGTTGTTTGCCTTCTTCTCATTTTGGAACTTGACATTAAGCATTTGCATTGACCAAGATTTATAATGCGGGCGTCGTCGATAGAACAGAAGACGTTTACCCTTCCGGAACAACTTTGAGGATATTTTTCTTTTGTTTTTATTTTGCTCCAGTTTCTACAAATTGGTGTTTGAATTTAGATTTAGTCGTATTTTAATAAACATTCCAAATAGTTACTTTCTGCAGACATATTCTGAGTTTGGAATAACCTTTCAGTGATATATAGACTGGCCACAGATATGTTTTTAAGTCCATTACCAAGCTGCGAGCAATTTCATATAAGTACCGTGTATTTCTTCTCGAATCCTTCTGTATTGATTATTCAATAAAAATATATAATGAATAAAATGAAGTTTGATGTTTACTCTTACAGTATATACTTTTACCAATTTAATTTCAATTCAAACCATTCCTTGGGTTTAATAAGTGCATACAGTTTGAATTATGTATAAATGAATTAGTTTCTACTAGTACTGGGGCGACATAATAAACATGGTTGTAGACTAGGAATCTCCTAATATTCTAGATTGTGTAAGCACATTCATTATAAATATGGATACATGTAGTTGCTCGCAGTTTACGAGTTTCACAGTGTGACATAGTGTGCCATTACGTTTGTATGTTATAACCATGACATGACATCATCGCAACTACAGCCACGTTCATATACATTATATATTCATGAAAGAAGCGTAACGAAATTATACACTTCACGAAATTACGAAATTCAAACTACTCAAATTCCAGTTCTACTTTCGATCTCCTGAGAATGAAAGTAGTATATTTAAGAGTAGCAAGTGGCTGCCTCCCTGAAAAACATACGGGAGACTAGTCGCAATTAGGATAAAGTGTCTCGTCAGGGACATTCAAAATTAGGCCTATAAGATAATCATTATCATGTAAACAATGTTGATTTTTTATCGACACTTATACATATATTTCCAAACAATTTCAGCAACAACCCGAGGACACTGGAGAAGAAATCCTTAATGGTTTGAAGTACGTCAGACCAGGAGGAGGGTTTGTTCCAAACTTCCAGATGTTCGGTCTTGTCGAAATCAACGGGAAGAATGAGCATCCTCTCTTTACATACCTCAAGGTACTACATGTAACCAATGAAACAACCTTTGAATCTCTGTATTCGTCATGATTTCGGCGATGTGTGCACTGCTACAACAACTGTTTGTTCTTTAAAAATGGCATCTCTCTCTCTTTCTCTCTATCTCTCCCCCACCCCCCTCCCTCTCTCTCTCTCTCTCTCTCTCTCTCTCTCTCTCTCTCTCTCTCTCTCTCTCTCTCTCTCTCTCTCTCTCTCTCTCTCTCTCTCTCTCTCTCTCTCTCTCTCTCTCTCTGAGACAAAATAGCAAAAGTCGTAAAAATGAAGATTTACATCTCGAGGTAACATATTTATAATTGTTCTTGTGTGTAATCTGATATTTAACTTTCTCAGAATTATTAGTCGAGCCATGTATATATCTAACTATTGCTTAAAGTCTTATCAATAACAGACGAACCAACATCTCTCACAATTTACAGAAATACTGCCCTCCACCAACAGACACATTTGAGGACACTAGTCTGCTATTGTACTCACCTTTGAAGGTCAGCGACATAAGGTGGAACTTTGAACAGTTCCTCATTAACAAAGACGGCAAACCAATTATGCGATACTCGTCGGATGTCAACCCGATGGTGTTAAAACCAGAAATTCAGCGAATGCTCCAGAGTGTACCGGAGCAGGGAGAGTCGCTAAGGTTTAGAAGTAATATGTGACAGATATGTGTGGACATTTACGCTAGCATTTTATCTTGGGTTAAAAATTACTTTGTGTTTTAATTATTCGTTATATTTCATCTTATTATTTTCATTAATAATTGTGTATAGTTATGGTGAAACTATAAACTACAAATATATTTGCTGATAAGTAGAACTTTTCTTTTATTACCGAATGACGTGTTAACATAAACCAGCGACAGCTGAGGGTTAACCTTGATAAATAGAATGACTTTCAACTTTGTGCATTCAGTTGAAGACTCACTTTTATTGTAGTACAAAAGTAAAGTTCAACACGATGCAAATAAATCTTGTTATCTCTTATTTTGATTTGTTTGCGTTCTTGTTTTTAAGATTTTGGTAATGAGCACCTCCACTTGAGGATCGGGCTACCAGTTACCATCATACCAACATATGACAAAGGCAATTCAAATCAGAAGAAATTATCACTTTTTAAGATTCGTGTACATGCGTGCACTGCTGATTATACAAAATATTAAACTTTCTCATTGTTCCTCTCCTTTTGATTTAATGAAAATGTCATTGCCACAGTGACCAGTAATTCACGTACAGGAACGTTATGACCGATACGAAAACTGATTTATCACAGCTTCAAACTACTCTACTTATCAAAGCGGACATACGTTAATTCTGTTTCTCACTTAATCGGTTGGATCATCTTAGATAAGTTTTCAGACTCTCACTTAATTGGTTGGATCATATTAGATTAGTTTTCAGACTCTCACTTAATTGGTTGGATCATATTAGATAAGTTTTCAGACTCTCGCTTAATTAGTTGGATCATATTAGATAAGTTTTCAGACTCTCACTTAATTGGTTGGATCATATTAGATAAGTTTTCAGACTCTCACTTAATTGGTTGGGTCATATAAGATAAGTTTTCAGACTCTCACTTAATTGATTGGATCATATTAGATAAGTTTTCAGACTCTCACTTAATTGGTTGGGTCATATAAGATAAGTCTTCAGACTCTCACTTAATTGATTGGATCATATTAGATAAGTTTTCAGACTCTCACTTAATTGGTTGAGTGATATTAGATAAGTTTTCAGACTATCACATAGTTTATGGCTACATCGTGACTAGGCATAGCCGCTTTACATCTAACACAGCTTAAACAGAAAGTCGAGCAGAAATCAGAAATGTCCAGAACCCCCTTTATCATTTGAGTTGAAGAAGAGAAATTGTAAAGGAAGAACAGTAGAAATAAACATTCTATATTTACCTACCTTTTGTAATCAATGTAAATGTGATCGGAGGCGCATATCCATGAACACAGTGAAAGAAGCACGAATGAGAGACTTCACCTAAAACTGGCCATGTCTTCATTTTATCTGATTTCTGCTACTTTAAAATATCTTATTAATAAATAAAATGATATAAAAAAAAACAGGAAATGTTTTGATTTCGATTTGTAGACTATTAATACACACACTTGTATATATATATAGATGTTGATTTCATTCCTTTCTAGTATATTCATACGTAGAATTTAGTAAGTAATATCGACAGTATGGTCCAATATTGGTTCTGGATCCTAACAAACACATGTTCGTTGGATGCGTATTCCTGGGATAGATATATGATCAATGAGCTAATAGCAAATTGTTTTATGTTCTATGTATGTAATGTAATTTCTGTAATATTTGTGTCTTGATAAAGGGGCAGGTTGCCTCGAAAGTTGTCCGTACTGTTGCTATTATTTCATTGATATAACACATACATACAAATATATATATGATTTGGTGTATAATTATTGAATAGTGTCAATATATTAGTTTCATTATTAGTTTAAATGCAATATTGCATTTATTTTTAAATCTGAACACACAGAACACAGTGTAATCAAAGACAATACCAAACAGCTTCCAATATCAATTTATTTCATGGAAACTTTCTTCATTTGAATTACTCCTGTACATTAGTGCTTTGTATCCATATAGAGAGTCAGAAGACTTGTTCGCCTTTTACACGAAGGGATTGGTAACTGTATTCGGGAGTTTTGGGGAAACTTTTATCCGTCGCTTAAAGAGGGCTGAGCTAGTGTCCGTTGCGAACTATGCCTTGCTTCCGGTCAAACTTTCATACATTTTGAAAGTTATATTGATGATAAATAATATGCAATTTACACTGCATCAACAAAGGTCAATTTAACCAATAAGATGAACATTTCACATAGGAATAGAATGATGAAAGAGAAACGGTTCAGTGTTGAGACTAAGGTTTTCATGAATGTATTTCTTGAACATACACTTAATGTTATGCATGTTTTAATACCATTATGATAAACCGTTTGAGGTGTATATGCTGTAAAGTACAATAGACAAATAAAACCGAAAATGTTATTCAAGATTATAGAAGGGAACTAAACAGGATCTTTTTTACTATGAAGTTGTCTTGTGTACTGTCCTCCGCTGATTTTGGAGTAGACTGTGGAAGCAATTATGAGTTATCTATTGTTGTGTATGGCCTTAAAAAATAAGAATGATAGAAAAGTCTTAAATACAACCAGAATAGGCTCATTGTACCAAATTAGCACTTGTGGACTACAACCATATAGTGAAATATTGACATTTGAACTGGGAGGAAGGCTCATAAAACATTAAAAAAATCGTTCATGAAAAAGACAACACCTTTTCTTTTACGGAAAAAGACATAGCTTTCCATGCCTTAAACTAGAAATCGGATGGATAGAAAATTAAATGTACACTTATCGTAATTGGTTATATTTTTTTCAACACAATTTAGGAAACACGCGTGACAAACCAATAAGCTATAAGTTTCTGACGAGTATTTTAATTACATCAAAATTAAATATGTTTTTATGCTAAATAAATGTGTGTAAAGATAATTAATAAGTCGATATGATTAACCAATATGGGCAGCCTAACCACTAAGTTATATGATTCCAATATCTTTATTGTGAATCTTCCATTTCTGTATAGCATCAGCCCTTCTTCCCCAACCTATGGTGATTACATGACGTATTTGATATTCAAGATCTGGCACCAGTATCACGTGTTTCGTGCAAAATGTCGAAAACTGACCAACTCACAACACATGGTTTCGAGAGATGCAAGTTGATGAAAATTAAGGTTTCACGGTCGTCATAATGATTGAAAAAAGTCTACTTCGTGTGATATGAAGTTTGGCGTGTTTGACACTCGTCTGTTTACCTGTTCTGTTGTTCTTTACATTGTTCTCATTTGAGGTCCTGACATTACCTACTTGAATTGACCAAGATTTACAATGCGGGTGTCGTCGATGAAACAGAGGACGCTTAATCTTCCGGAACACCGGATATTTTTTTCCATGTACATTTTCAGGAATCTGTGTGTAAAACTTTGTTTTGTTCATATTTTGCCATTGTTTCATTAAATTTGAGTTTGGACTAAGATCATCACATATCGGTATCTATCTGGTCTGAACTTCTCTTAATTTGAACCGGGTGCAATAAACTGTAATATGGAGGAAATACACCGCTTCAGTTAGACTTGCCAATCAAATATGATTTTTGTTTACTCATGAATAAAAGAATATAAATAACAAAATGAACAACAGTCGATAATTTGATATGGGTATCCATTCTGATGTTTACGGACTTGAATACCTGTATGGCGAATAAATCAATACACACCTATCCAAACGGAACCCGTATCAATGTTTCATGATGGAATTAAGCACTGCAATATACCTGTATATACAATTATTGTTATCGGCACTATTTATCTGGTCATGAATTGCAAATGATCAACATTGTCTTTCTCTTTATTGATTAATATGGGGAAACAAGTATATATCTATGTATATGTTAAAAGGGATCAATACTCTCTACACATGTATAAGTTGATAGTGATGACCTTTATTTACCTGTGTATAAGTTGACAGTGATGACCGTTATTTACCTGTTTATAAGTTGACAGTGATGACCATTATTTACCTGTTTATAAGTTGATAATGATGACCAATATTTACCTGTTTATGACCATTACTTACCTGTTTATAAGTTGATAGTGATGACCATTATTTACCTGTTTATAAGTTGACAGTGATGGCCATAATTTACCTGTTGATAAGTTGATAGTGATGACCATTATTAACCTGTGTATAAGTTGACAGTGATGACCATTATTTACCTGTTTATAAGTTGACAATGATGACCATGATTTACCTGTTGATAAGTTGATAGTGATGACCATTATTTACCTGTTTATAAGTTGATAGTGATGACCATTATTTACCTGTTTATAAGTTGATAGTGATGACCATTATTTACCTGTGTATAAGTTGATAGTGATGACCATTATTTACCTGTGTATAAGTTGACAGTGATGACCATTATTTACCTGTTTATAAGTTGACAGTGATGACCATTATTTACCTGTGTATAAGTTGATAGTGATGGCCATTACTTACCTGTGTATAAGTTGATAGTGATGGCCATTACTTACCTGTGTATAAGTTGATAGTGATGACCATTATTTACCTGTGTATAAGTTGACAGTGATGACCATTATTTACCTGTTTATAAGTTGACAGTGATGACCATTATTTACCTGTTTATAAGTTGACAATGATGACCATGATTTACCTGTTGATAAGTGGATAGTGATGACCATTACTTACCTGTTGATAAGTTGACAATGATGACCGCTACTTACCTGTTTATAAGTTGATAGTGATGACCATTACTTACCTGTTTATAAGTTGATAGTGATGGCTATTACTTACCTGTGTATAAGTTGACAGTGATGACCATTATTTACCTGTGTATAAGTTGACAGTGATGACCATGATTTACCTGTTTATAAGTTGATAGTGATGACCATTATTTACCTGTTTATAAGTTGATAGTGATGACCATGATTTACCTGTTGATAAGTTGACAGTGATGACCATTATTTACCTGTTGATAAGTTGACAATGATGACCGTTACTTACCTGTTTATAAGTTGACAGTGATGGCCATAATTTACCT